GACAGGAAAGTATGAAAATGTATGATCTAAAGGCAGTTTTTAAAAAAATAAATAAATAAAATCTATTTGTATTACAGTATCGCAAGAACAAAAATAGACTCAAAAATTAAAGTGTGAATTTCATTCTCAGCTCTACTTTTTGAAGTTTTCAATCACCAATTAAACAACTAACACTTCAGTTGCTGAATTTACTTATTAAAGCTTGCAGCCTTACCAAGAGTGTTAAAAGAGCCTAATGAAGTTGTTCTGTTGCCTTTGGCTACATCCAGATGCCCCTTTTCATAGGCCACTGCATTGTTTCTTAGCATGTAGAATAAAAAAATGGGGGCGGGGAGAAAAAAGGGGGTAAAGAGCAATAAAATATCAGGATGCCTCTTAAAATTACTGTAAAAAACAGTAATTTCAAAAGTCACTCTTTACCCTTTTTTCCATTAATGATATAATCCATACAACAAAAAGAACAAGAACAGGGACTAGTCCTATAAGATGCATATATTCCTTTCCTTTCCTTTCCTTTCCTTTCCTTTCCTTTCCTTTCCTTTTCTCTCCTCTCCTCTCCTCTCCTCTCTTCTCCCCTCCCCTCCCCTCCTTTTCCTTCCCTTTCCTCTTTTTTAAAATTGTTGTCTGCACAATATATTTCACACAACTGTATCTCTTTTATTAATTTCACACTCAGGCCAGAATTTTAAAATAACAAAATGCCATTTTTGATATAATTACTTCCCTAGTTCTATTTCAGTGTTTCCCTTTCTCTTTCCTGAAACATTGTTCAGCACAAGGCTCCTCACTCCATTTTTGGGTCTCCCTGAATGTGATCTTCCTTCCGTTTGCTTTTCAAAGCAAAGGAGAAAAAAAAAAACACTTGCCCACCTCCTAAGAAGCATCCACTGTGCTATGGCAAATTCACTGCTCAAAGCAGCTAAAGAGGATGAGAAAGACAGTGTCTTGAAGGACATGAGAAACTCTCAAGAGCTGGGAGGCAGGAAAAAGCAGGAGATTCCACCACTAAGTAACTGTCCCTCTAGCAGCACCAACAAGTTTTACAGTGTTTCTCTAGTGTAAGGATACTAGTTAATTAGATTAGCACCATGCTAACCCCATGTGACTTTAGGTGGGGAAACACCAATGAGATGCTAGTATCAGAATAAATTACAGGCAGTCTTCAATTTATAACAGTTCATTTAGTGACCATTTGAAGTTACAGTGGCACTGAAAAATTGACTTATGATCATTTTTCATGACCATTTTTCATGACCAGCCTGCCTATGGTCACATGATCAAAATTCAGATGCTTGACAACTGACACATTTATAACAATCACAATGTCCCCAGGTCATGTGATCACTGCCTAACAAGCAAAGTCAATGGGAATGCACTGATTTATTTAACATGTGGTGAAAGGGTGCAAAACTCACTTAATAACCGTCTCACTTAGCAACAGAAATTTTGGTCTACCTGTACAGAGTGGAATTGGTATACCACCATCAGTCCTGGCTAAAACAGGGATTTATTTGTTTGTTTATTTGGTTGCCCAATTCACACATAGATAACTCTGACCTGCTTACAAAATTCTAAAAAATTAAAAAGTATTCCACCATACAATCAGAGCCATTAATCCTAACCACCCTCACCTGCACCCCCATACAGTAACCCATTCAAATCAGCCAGGATTAGATCCATCTCTATTTGTGATCTCCAGGCCTGCTGACAAGTCGTGTTTTTAGTGCCTTTTGGAAAAGCTGCAGTGTAGGACCTCAGTACATCTCAGGGGGAATGATGTTCCATAAAGAAGGGCCATCACAAAGAAGGCCCTTTTTGTGGTCACACCAGAGCACAATCCTTAATCAATGGAACCTGTGATGTGTCCTGCCTTCCCATCCTGGTTGGCCAGAGGGATGTAATCGGAGAGTCTTTCAAATAACCTTTGATATCGATAGTGGTTCCATGTGTTGTGGTCATTACACCATCCTGTTAGGCCACCAAGTGGCTTATTGAAGGGAACACAGAATTGTGTTTTCTTTCTTGGAGTTTAGCCCATTGTGCAAACCCATAACTTGACTTGCATTATTTTAATGGGACTTTGTAGGACAATTCTATTGCTTCTTCTGAAAATTCTAACATTGAGAGGAACTGAAAGCATTTGTCATACCGACTACAAACAGGTATTTTTTCTCTCGGGCTAATATGAGAGATATTATCTCTTGAACAGTTTGGGGACATTCACCAATTTGTTCTTCATTCCAAGATGGGGAGATAAGAAGTACAGCCAAATTCTGAAATAGATACTGCAGCAAAAAGGTTTTAAGATGGCAATTCCTTCTTTGAGGATATAGCTTCTCCAACCTTTAAGTGGAAAACGCAACTAATCATCTGGTTCTTGGAGCACTTGTCTATATTTTACATTTCTTCCGGCAATTATATTTGTGTCCTGATTATAGAATGTAGAACTACAGTATATGCACTCCAGCTATATTCCTTCTGTATTACTCAGACATATTTCAAATGTTGTTTCAGCAAGATATGGAGGGTGTAAAGAATGTTTAGCCAAAACATGCATAAGCACAAGCACAAGCTAAACATATATTTAGGAAAAAGCTAACCAGTTTCAAAGAAAATGTAAGGATAATGTTCTGTCTTCTTTTCTTATGAAATTGTGACAGAATGTTGTAAGGATCCCACTGAACCTATAAAAGCTCTCTTAGGCATCTTCAGGAATAGATTTCACTTATATTTATCCAATAAACAGTCATAGCACCAGGGGAGAATTTTCGTGATCATCTTCCGTTATTACTATTCAGAAAGTAACAAAATGAAGTGTTTTAGTTATTTAAATAAATGCATGCAATTTTTAAATACGCTTGTAGCTACAGTTGTGGATTATTTCTCTTGGTTTGGTTTGGTTTTTGGTGCCTTCAAGTCAGTGTTGAATTCTGACGACTATCTGGACAAGTCCCTGAAGTATTTTTGGGAAGATTTTGGCAATGGTTTGCCCTTGCCTGCTTCCTAAGTCTGAGTAAGAGAATGAGTGGCCCATGCATAAGGCAGGACTAGAGCTCATGATCTCCTGGTTTCCTAATTGGTGCCTTAACCACTACTATACATCAATCTGGCTCTTATCTTGTGGAATATACCAATTAATTTTCCCTCTATATTGCATATAAAACACATGAGGCTTTTTAAAAAATCACAGCTTGCTTAAGAAAAACCATAACTTAATGGAAAGAGTAGTATTTGAATGGAGATTAATAGTTTGCAGCTCAGTTTCTTATGTAGTATGCTACAATACTTTCATAAAAGGTTATGTTCTCTTTATTATATACCTCCTTAATTCAATTCAGAACATTCATGTATACGTGACTGTAGGACAGGGGTCAGCAACCTGCGGTTCCAGAGCCGCATGCAACTCTTTGGGCCTTCTGCTGTGGCTCCCTGTCAGGTGATCCCACCATTGGCTGGCCCCGCCCCTCGCCCTCTCCTCCCAGTCACTCCTTACCTGGCCTGAGAAGGTAAGGGCGACGGTGGGAGATGGAGAAGCGGCCAGGGCAGAGACAGAGAGGGGGAGAGAGAGAGAGATACAGAGAGAGATGGAGAGAGAGAGTCATAGAGGGAGAGAGAGAGGTAGGGGAGAGAGAGATATGTCAAAAGGATTTTGTGGTTCCTGGTGTTTTTTAACAACTCGTTCTCTGCCCTAGTGACCCTTGCCACGCCTAATGTGTAGGCGTGGCTAGGGGGGTCATGTGACTGGTAGAAGTGAATGACATTGAGTTGGCCACACCCACGCAGGTTTTGTGGCTCCCAGTGTTTTCTTTTCTGTGGGAAACGGATCCAAATGGCTCTTTGAGTATTTATGGTTGCAGACCCCTGCTCTAGAATATCGAAAATGTTTCAGATGTGCTGGGTCTATTTTGCCTTTGGTTGGAACTCTGAGATCACCCAGCCAGAAGCTGATGCCCATATAGATACGGGACGATAATAAACACATTCAGATACTCAGAACACATTTTGTTCTGGGTATCATAAGAAAAAGAAGCTTATAGTCTTTCACTGCTCAGGAGTGTAATTGGGTGGCGAAGAGTGGTTTTGTTACTACTATTATCACTGCCTGTGGAGAGAGGTCAGAAAAGTCTGTTTAGAGATATGCTGTAGTTTGCTTACAATTTTAGTAGCAATTGCTTTTATCTTATATTTCTTTTGGGAATTCAAGGGAACGTTTTATTATTTTATTTTTATTTAATTCCCAACACAACAACTGTGAATGACTAAGAATGACTAGCCCAAGATGCCCCATGAGTTGTAGTCAAATGAGACCTTGGCTCAAGGTCTCCCCTGTTCCAATTCCAGGACCTTAACTGCTATTTTATGTAATTAAGATTGCATTGTTGACAAATCAATGTTCTGAATATAAAATTGTTTAATTTGATTAAACAGAGCAACCAGGTTTTAACTGACCAAAGTTCAATGATCATCATTGAATGAAATGGGCAGCAAGTAAAAACAATGTCAAAATCACAGACACTGAAACTCTTTAGCAGGGGGTTGGACTAGATGACCTCCAAGGTCCCTTCCAACTTTTTTACTGTTACATACAAGAAGAGGCATCACCTTTCTTTCATACGAGACCAATCTCCTAAGGTTATGAATGCATCAGTTCATGATTAAGTCATTCTCCAATCTGCACAATTAGTTGAGATTTAAAAATAAATTTATAGGTGGGTTGTTTTTTTTTTTTTGGTAGTCTACATGTTTCAGAACCCTGTTTTGTGGTTTTATGAAACAGTGATGGAAAACTAAGCAACAAATGTTATGTGAAAAAATATATACAATCTAACTGTATACAGTCCTATATGTGCACAGAAAATGCTCCCTGGCTCAAAGTAAATACAAACTCTAATTTAGCCATTTGATTAAAATTGTTGTTCTATATTAATTCATAGGAATAATCTTTTTTAAAGAAAGGTTTTGCCTTCTAATCTCTTCTCTCTTTCTTCTTGTTTTTCCAGAGAACTCTGGGTGAAGGATACCACCTTAAAAACAAAAGGAATGCCCCCTGTGTCTACACACCCCCTTCTCTTAAAGGTAAGATAGCTCTCTATTATTCACTATTCACAATGTAAATCTTAATGGAGAAACACAGTTAAATTCTTCTCACTGCTATCATAAAATTTGCTGCACTGGTTTCTGGATTTCATAGCAGCAATAGCTACAAAGCAAGAACTGACACACTGGAAAAATATTTGCAGTGCTTCCTGAGAATGGCATTATAGACTTGCTTTATAGATAAATACATAGTAAGGGTTGGGTTAATGTTATTTGCAGGCACAAAAGTACCCTTAAACATTGCTTTTAGTTTCCCAAAACTCCTACTTCATATGCATTTTTAAAAATATTCTTCTAAGAAAAAGAAATTAAACATGAAGCTGCCAGGCTGCAAAGCTAAGCACCCCAGCTTCTAAACTTTATTTCTCTTTGGGTAATGACTTTGGTCTCCAGAAAGACCCCACTGGAGTTGTAGAAAGCAGTGTGAAAGTCTAACTTGTCTTTTAAATGTATTCTTCTTATTGACCATTTATAGCAGCCATTGTGTGATTAAACAAGTCTCCCAATACATAATTTTGGGATATGCCGTTCACAGGCTCTCCAAAATTTAAAACAGACCTTTAGCCTCAAAAGATCAACTATTTAAAGTTTATAGTTGAAGATGGTAGAAAAGTACAAGCTTGATAGTTGATGACTTATAGGTGATAGATATTTCACTATATATATTATTTATTTTCATTTTTAAAATGTTTATAAGTAGAAAATCCCTCTGTCTTTCTCAAAATAAGATACTGTGGACCTGGTTTATATACCAACTATACCAATTCATAAATTGCTTTGCTTGGATTATTTTAGCACACAGAATGTAAATCTTGTAGCCTAGAAATTCTTATTTAAGGTTTTAAACAGGTTATATGGACTAAGTCAAATATGATTTATTCAGTATTCCATTATTTCACATACAATAATAGTTGAACCTAGTCATTTTATACAGAAACAGTATTTTGTTTTAGGAGAGCAGGACATTTTAAGAACACTGGATTTGAGCTACATAAAGAGATGATGCAAGGATGGATGAACAACAAACAGATGACAAACTGACAAACATTTAAAAATTATTTTAAGGATTGTTGCATGTATAGACTGATTTTCAGGGCAGATTGTAGGAGCAAGATAATGTGCATATCATAATTTTTTGTCAAGATTTATCCTTTGTACACCTCATTTTTTAAGAGAGGGTAAATAATTGTGATTTAAATAGAAAAGCAGTGAAGGTGAGCCGAAGACATGCAGAAATTTGATTTGATTTGGGTTCTTTGATTTGGCTCAGCTGCTTCTGCTATGGATTTGGAACCTGTGGGTGTTCCTTGGAGCATTGTTATTTTTACCATTGTTTTATTGCAATGTTCTCATTAATTTGTAAGAGATTTGTTTAGATAAATGCTGCATATAAGTAAACAAATACATATACAAATATTGAACTTTTAACATTAGTAACCTCATGTCTTGCCAGAGCTAATCTGATGTTTCTTCCAGTTTAGAGAATCTCATTGAGGTTACCGCATTTAAGGTTCTTCCAGCCCTGTATCTCCAAATTTCTATTTTTTTAAAAAAAATATAGTGCTTTATAATCTCCATTTGAATTAATTGTTCCTCCCCTATGCACTCACATATCCACATATCCACACTCAAATACACTAAATTAAGACAGAAATGAAAAACTGATATATCTCTTTAAAATGTTCTTAGTTAATGACAGAATAAGACTTGTAACACTGGAAATTTAGCTACCGGTAATATTAACATTTGTGGACAGGACAGCTTAACTTTCAACTGAATGCAGTTCTTCTGAAAATGTTAACTGCAAATGCTCACATCTTCATCAACTACTTTTTTGACACTTGCATAAAACTCCCTTACTGCTAATTTCTTTTCTAAGCTCCTGGAGAACTTGTAGTTTAAAGAAACAGACTCTTTTGCACTTAATTTGAATGTGATAGCTGACCCTTCTTGCACCTAACTTGAATTTTTATGTTTGATAAAAAGTTTAAACTCCATCTGTTTCAAAACTAACTATTTTGCAGAAATGAAGGTGACCTTAGGAGCATGGGAAAATGGCGGAGAAAACGAAATTTGTGTGGGTGTTATACATACATAAACTCTGTATTCGTTTGCATTAACTATATTAATTCTGGATAGAGAGACTCAGTTCTACGGAGATGGGATGACTCATATCTCTCTCTCTCCCTCCCTCCCTCCTTCTCTCTTCCTCTCTCTCTCCTATGCTTCCATTCAACCTGACTAATTTTTAAATGGGATAGAACATTTAATACTGAGTTTCTTTCAGCGCTCTCAGTTAAGTACAGTTTGTTCAAAGCAACGTATTCACCTTTCAGATTTTAAGTGAATTAGTTACATTCACTGATGAAAAACCTGAGCTAAAAATGAACTCAAAAGTCTTCCTACTGAACTGAGATGAGCTTATAAGGATGTACAGTATGTTTATTCAAATCCTGATTCAAATTGCTGATTGCAAGCATTAGCTTTAGTTAATATTAGTTTAGAAGGGAACACTTCTTCTTAAATAATACCTGCCCAAATATCAATGATACCTGCATCAAACAAAAATGATACCTTCCGTCATGACTGAAGACAGATTTGAAACCCTTATCTGGGTTTCCCAGATAAGTTCAATTTTGTCCTAGTATTATAGTTTCTTCTGAGGCAACTATATCTTGGCTAAGTGCTATAGGCTGGCTCCCAGGTTGAACTTGCCCACTGAATCTTAATACCCCTCCCCTTAATTTAGTTATCCAAGTTATATCTTCTAACAAATGATTACTGCATATTTTACTCATAGTTCACAATATATCTTGTTTTTGGTATCATAGGAGAAAAGAAAAATGTCCATATTTTTTTCTTCACATGGTCAAAATTATTTGAAAGCCTGGAATTGAAAGAGAATTGAATTTGATTCTGACACATATACTGAATTATTTCTCTTTTTCTCTAATTGTATAGATTACATAGAAATTACTGTAAACAATTCCACAAAGAGAAGTGTATGTTTCTTCATGCCAGAAAGCAAGAAACCAAATCCATTTCTTGTAAATCCAATTATCCCTATTTAATTACTGAGAATGTCATATTTTCTAACACCAGGCTAATATACAAGGGACATGATTTTATTCGTAGTATCTTGCTGTACAATCTTGGCCACAATCAATAGGCTAATTAGCAATTTTTAATTAATCTCTGGCATAATATTCTTTTTTCCCCCTTTTAAAGCTTGCTAACCTGAAATATGCATTGATAAGCTAATATGTTTGAAACATATATGTAAAACAAATTGAAATGATGAGGGTTTTTTTTGTTGTTTTAATTTTAAAACATTTCTCTCTTTTCAAATGAAAAAGGGTTGTTTTTTTTTTTTAAAAAGTGACACAGAATACCTTAAGTTTGACTGATAAAGAACAGTCAGTAATTATTTCAAGTATTTTAATATTCATCTTTCAAAACTAATAAATAGACTTGTCAATGAAATATGTAGCTTGCTTTATATTTCCTTCCTGAAGCATCACCTTTAACTAAAAATGAAAATCTTGGAGACCGAGGAATAAATGTGATTAATAATTTATCCAGCTCATGAATTGCCACTTGAGATTTGCTCAAAATGCCAACATAGATCTTCCAGAAATTGGTGTTTTTTTTATGTCATCAAAATTATCCATGTCTCTTGGGAATCAGTTAAAAAAAACTCTATAATAATTAACTGTAATGGAAAATATCTGAGTCCACTAAAATATTTTGTTGCTTTGAGGAAATAAGATGATGAGCTTCCTCAGTATTTCATGAGGAAAAATCCACTAACCTGGTAACTGAATCTTTCTCCAAAATTTGTAAAGGAAGACCATTCTCTGAGAGGAGAGGCAGAGGTGCGGTCTAATCCAGGGGTCTCCAACCTTGGCAACTTTATGACTTGTGGACTTCAATTCCCAGAATTCCTCAGCCAGCACTGGCTGAGGAATTCTGGGAGTTGAAGTCCACAAGTCGTAAAGTTGCCAAGGTTGGAGACCCCTGGCCATATCCTGTAGCACACAATCTCTTCTCCACTTCCCAGGATCACTTGTCAAGATTATAAAAAAGCAAATGGTTGGGTCGGCCCTGGAAATACCATTGTCAAGATTGTTCTTCATGCAAGAAAAATTAGAGTAAAATGATGAGATGAGAAGAGAAAAATCTATTAATATAAAATCATTAATTTCACAGTCCAAATTTAAAAAAAAACTTGTTTGTCCTGTTAATCACAGTGTCCTTTCAACTCTGCAGGTGATCATCCTTTCTGCTTCCATTGGAAGCAGTGTGCATGTCTACCTCACAGTAGATTTTCCCAGTATTATAACTCCCCAGGACAACCAAGCTGAATCCAAAATTAGAAGAATGGTTTGAGTGGTGCCTTGGAGAGGGGAGTAAAGAGAGAAGTGGGTCTATTCCGTTTGGCATTCTCTGATTCAGTAGTGGGTGATTTCAAAAACTTTGTGCAAATGATCATTTGAGACCTATTGGCAAGAGCTATTTTTCTTTGTATTAGCAACATGCAAGATAGATGAGTGGAAGAAAAATGAGATGATAAGTTTACATGTAATTCTAGCCAGGATAACATTAACCATGAGTTATTCACACAAAACTGTATAAAAAAGACTTGAACAAAAAGTCATCCCAAATGTTCCTGAAAAACATTTAGTAAAAAGCAACTGTGTAACCAGTGGTGGGTTTCAAAATTTTTTACTACCGGTTCTGTGGGTGTGGCTTAGTGGGCATAGCATGGTTTGGTGGGTGTGACAGGGAAAGGATGCTGTAAAATCTCCATTCTGACTCCACTGCAGGGGAAGGATATTGTAAAATCTCCATTCCCTCCCCACTCCAGGGGAAGGTTACTGCAAAATAAGAGCCTTGGTAGTACAGTGGTCTAAAGCACCCTGTTATTAAGAACAGCTGCCTGCAATTACTGCAGGTTCGAATCTCGCCAAGGCTCAAGG